ATATATATATATATATATTTATTTATTTCACCGCTATTTCTCTCTTTTTAAACGTGATTTTTTTAAAGTGGAATCCCTACCTTTTAATTCCTTTTTCTAAAAAACCCATCACTTAACATCTAAACATTTCATATATTTATTTTCTATTCTTTCAATTTCCAGAATATTTCTCTTCTATCTCACTCTGGTGTAAAACACAAATAAAAATGAGTCGGAAGGAGTATTCAATTAATAAGCAATCAATTATTGTAACCTAAAACACGTCACCGAATTTTTTAATATTTATTCTACACAAAATTAAAGTCACACTCAAGTGTCTGTCATAGACTAATACGAGTAATAATTTAAACAATTAAACACCCTTTGGTACAATGAGAATCTAGATTTAGATAAACACTAGGTGGCGGCTTGAGGTTTGAGCTTGCTAATAATTCACTTTCAAGCAGGGAAACAAAATGTTGGATAATTTGTTGAAATGAATCTTTCTTTTGCAAAAAGGAAAAATAAAAATCTGAAAATTGCTCATATTTCTTGATTAGTAAGCATTTTCATAGACTCTAAAAACAGCACCAAAATGACAAGAAGCCCCTAAACCCAGCCATAAATCAAGGAGGGATAAGGCTTCTTTGTCCTCATCATGTCCCAATTTAGTCACAACCCCTTGACGCAGAAAACTCCACTTACAACAAAAATTTAACTTTTTAAAAAAATGCGAATCTAATTAGTAATTACAACCCCCACCCAACTCGTACTTATGTGTCTAATTAGACAATTAGACAGTGATAATCACTAATCAGAGGCATAGTCTTAGTGGGTTACTGAAGTTGATACAACGTCTAATCCTTCACAGCTCCATTTTACCTTACTTATTAATGTCTATAACATTTTTTTTCCTGCTAATCCACGCCACGCTAGCCCCTTATGCTGTTTCTTTGAAATGTTAACAAACCAAAGCCCACACAACACTACACCTCAAATCTCTCTCTCTCTCTTTCCTCATTGTGGGTCTTAGTTCAATCTTGATACTTGCCTCGAAAGTCTCAATCTTTCTTGTTTCTTAAGCAGCCACAGATCTGGGGCAAGGGCACCTACCCAATATACCCAAGTTGCTTTGTAGCCTCCAATCTTTTGTAAGAACACTGTTTCAATTATCATTAAGATTAAGATAAAAATAAGTAAGTTACATCCGGTAACTTTGAGAAGACTTAGGTGTCAGGCTTTATGGGGCACTGAGGTGTTCCTATGGTAATTCTCGTTGGTAATGTTTTTGTTTGAATTATGCAAGTGTGAACAATATCTATAAGGAGGAAAATACAAAAAATAGTGCTATTTTTAGCTACATTATTTTACTAGCTTTGTGTAAGCATTGGGGTTTTTAGGATTCTCTTTTACTCTATGCTTTTGTCAGTCCTTGGGTTCTGAGTCTTTTTTGGGGTTCAGTATAATACGAGTGCCATTGTCTAAAATCAGCATCTTTCGGGGTCCTCCTCCTTTTCCCATCTCCCACTTCCACCTCTGCTTAAATTCGAATTCTTTCTGCTCGATCCGTGGATTTTCCCGGTTAAATTTTGCACCTTTCGTCTCTCACCAAGGTATGCCATGGAAAAAAAGTTTTTTTTTTTTTGTTTTTTGTTTTTTGTTTTTTTTATAAAAATTTATTTTCCAATTGGATTCTGCCCCCATTTTTTCTTTTTGTCCTGAAAATGGAGGAGAATGTTGGATTTAGTTGTTCCATTTGGTGGAAGAACTGTTTCAGTTCAGTTGGAAGGACTCTTGTCTGATTGAAGAATGTGCTTGACTTACATAATTTTCCTTTTTAATTCTTAGGAAATAAGGTGTTGTCTGATGTTTTAACTTGGAGATCTAGCATTTTTGTTCCATTATTTTGGGTAATATTTGACTAACTTGAAGCTGGAAATTATGAGTCTGTTCAAAATTGTGGGTTCCTAGTGCCTCTCGCTGCTGAACTGTTTTTTTTTTTTTTTTTTTTTGGTTTAGTAATTTCAAATTACAGTTATACGAAGATAGCCTTCGTAATAATATTACTGGATCTCTTTCTCCCCAAAACTTTACTGGTTCATTGCTGTTGTGAAGTGCCTTAGAAAAGACTGATGCATTGCTCAATTAGGATATCTTTCCCTATTCCAAAATGTGTTCTGGCTGAGCCCTTTTATCTCTGCAAGTTTTCTGAATTAAACAAATTGTTTAACTCATCTAAGATATTTTAGTAATTTCTTTATCTGTCGTGGTGCTTGTAATTCTCTATCAGTGGGTCCTAAATTGGCTTGAGTTTTTTATTTTAATTTTTTTCATAGATGAACTGCCTTTGAAGTTTGCTTGAGTAAGTTTGTGCCAAAGAAAAGGATACTTGTAAACGTGGATTCTTTGCTTCCTTTGCATTTAGGTGCTGCATTGGTGGCTATCTCTGTAAGCAATTAGCCCTGTGTGGGAACTGGGAATGAAAAAAGAACCTGCAAGTTATGCAGTAATTTATATAAGGTCTGATTAATTTCTCTGAACAATGTCGAGGGTTACTAAGTGGAAGATTGAGAAGACAAAAGTAAAGGTGGTTTTCCGGCTCCAATTCCATGCCACACATGTAAGTTTCCCATCTATGCAACTTTTTGTTCATTCTTTGGGCTGGTAATTTCAAATTTCACAAGAAGAATTTTAATTTTAGGTTGTTGGAAGGGAGTATAATCACTGTAACTTAGAAAACTCCAATCTGTCACTCAAATAATGATCTGAGTGCTCTGCACATTTGGTCTTAGATTCCATTTAAACCTACAGTTCTCAGAATTTATTCGAAGTTTAGTTGACATTATGTTATACTTTGCATGTCTGTCAATATGATGGTTGACACTCTCATTTGTCCTACTAAATTCTGTCCAGTTTTCAAATATTCATGTCTGTCAGTATGTATTGTGATTCTATCATCTCCGTCATGTTTAATTCAAACATACAAATATATGATATTGCTTTATCAATGTTATGTTCCAACCAATTTGTAAACTTCTTTTATTTTGGTATATTATCTGATTTTTTAGTTTTTATTCTCCATCATGCTAATCAGTTTATGACAATCATATATCTAGCAAGTAGTGACATCCTTTAAACATTCAGCATCGTCCTATTTCTCTGTTACTCTACTCCTTTGACTTTGTTCCATTCTTCAATGTAAACATGTGAGCTATGTCACCAAAATGATTATTATCCTTCAGTCACTTGATGTTTTTGCTTTTGGCTAGGTATTATAAAACTATAAATGAAAAATTTATATATGAGCTTAACATCTGAGATAATCTCCATCTAAGCCAATTGGGAACATGATTAGAACATCAAATTCATAGGCAATGGGTTGTTTTATAGAAAGCATGTCTTGGAGCAGATATTAATTATTTGAATGATGTAGCTGTGCCTTGGTTACCAACATTTATGTATCAGCTTTTCAAGATTCACACAAGTAAAACAATGCTATATCAAGGTCAAATAAAATACATATGCTTCTTTTCACAAGTTGTTGAATGCAGCCATGTGAAAAATCTACCCCTATTTTATCATCTATTATTTATTGATGTATTTTTTATAGTTGAAGTAATTAAATAGCTTTAATAACTGAGAACACAACAGTAATTTGAATTTGTTTTATGAGATAATTGATTGGTTGATACACATGAAGTTAGTTATATGTTTGAATGAATTGATATGGGTTAATATCAAAATGGTTTGTTAAGAAATAGAAAGAAATCATCTAAGCTGGATCAATGACAAAGGTACAGAAAGCTCCATCTTGTTCAACATATGAATTAATATAGCCTATCTCAATTTTTTAAGATTCATTTCAATGTATTCATGCAGTTGGATGGCATGCAATTTAGATATAATGAATGCAATATGGAGGCTTGGAAATTGGAAATATAATTCATTACTTTCAAGTTGGTGCTTTTAAAGCACTGAAAACAGCTTCTAAATACCGCATGCCCTGAACATGAAAAATGTTTATTGATTATTCCTTACATTGGGGTAGATGAGGACATAAAGAGTGTGATTTTTCTGTTTCCCCCTTCACTACCTTTTTTTTTTGGTAAAGACTACAAGTATTCTCTACCAGAGACAATCTTGTTTAAATCGTGTAGGATCACTATGAACAACAAAGTTCTCCTTTTGAATATTTAACACAACTACATATTTAAGCCTCAAATTCAAGACTATTGGTTAAGTTGGAACAACTTTGTAACAGTTGATTCATGTACTTAGTGGTCTAAGATTAGATTTGAATCATTGACCATTGCCTCCAACAACACTGAGCCACTAAGTTAATGACTAGTTTTTTTTTTTTTAAACCTTGGCTTTTTAGTTAAGAATCTAATGTAGAATTCCAGACCCACTTAAATATTTTCAAGGAAAAAAAACAAACAAGAGAAGCAGATGAACAACCTATTTATGTGAAAAGTGACTACATTTCATTGGCCCTAGCCCTAAACCTAAGTGAAGGTGATACATATTTACTTTGTTCAGTGTTTGGCTTTAATTAAAGTAAATGGCCCTCATATTAGGAATATCCTATATTTTTTTTTTCATGTGATGGCTCAAATATCTTTTATTGGGTTAGGGACTGTTCACGTGTGACATAATTAATAGTTAAATGGTCTACTATCTTTTTGTGAAGAATGAACACTTTAGGTTTATGCCACTGTTGAAGGTTTAAAATTCTTGATCAAGTTTAGCTGACTGCTGCAGTGATTAGGCTTAACTTCCATATCTTGCTGAATAGTTAATCAAGCTCTAGAAAGTATCTGAGGTCTCTTTGCAAGTATTGACTTCTTTATCAACTCAGCTCTCTTGAACTCATTTATATTAATTGTTTCAAATTATTTCTACCTCTATCTTGACTATTTGCTATTTTAAAATTCCATCTTGAGAATGTAATATGAAAGAAGCTGCTTCAAGTTCTTTATCTGGTAGAGTTACATAGCCCTTAATATTGTCAGCACGATCAGGTGATATCTTGGAGAGAATTTATATTTAGGCAGTTTTCGTGGTTAGTTGAAATTTTTGGAAGGAGTCTGCATTAAATCAGCTTTGTTTTGGGACAGAATTATTGTTACTGTTGTTGAGTCCATACTCCATAGTTCTAGACTTCTACATCTATTTCTTTATGCAATTACTAAGTTGAGTTTTGTTTATGTTTGGTCTAGATTCCACAATCTGGATGGGATAAATTGTTTATCTCTTTCATCCCTGCCGACTCTGGGAAGGCTACATCAAAGACAACCAAAGCAAATGTGAGAAATGGAACCTGCAAGTGGGCAGATCCAATCTATGAAACTACAAGACTCCTCCAAGACATTAAAACTAGACAATATGAGGAGAAGTTTTATAAACTTCTTGTGGGGATGGTAATGTTCTTTCATGACTTTTAAATGAACACAATTGATTATGCCATAGCATTTATAGAAGTGTCACGTGAAATACAGAAACCCAATTCAACAAGTTAATCATATTGTTTATGGCTTAATGCATAAACCTTCACTATATCACTCACATTAATGGTGCATAACTGCATATTTAATGAACATATTTTTGGTTTGTTTACCTAGTTGATGCTTTGAGATCTTGATTATATTCTTTAACAGTGTGATGCAATAATCAGTGATACTTTTGAATCATTATTTTTTATTTAAAAGTTTTATTCAAAATAATCAGATTCAGATTTTTGAATGGATCTTAATGTTAGGATTAAAATCTAATTAACACTGACTTATTTAAAGAACATAACAAATTCATAGTATATATAAAATGAGTTTCATTGTTTTTATGACACGCCACCATCTCCATTGCTGCTTGCAACCATCAGGATTCAGAAATACCTGAATGTTGATAGCAAAAAACTGAATGTTTTCCAATGAGATAGATGCTTGTGGCCATTAGTCTTGTTAGAAATTAGAACTTCAATAACTTTATTTTTGGCCTATCCACTACAGGGTTCATCACGATCTAGCATCCTTGGCGAGGCCAACATTAATCTAGCTGATTTTGTTGATGCCTTGAAGCCAACAGCTGTTTCTTTGCCTCTTAATGGAAGTGAGACTGGAGTCATGCTACATGTGAGGATCCCTGACTTCATATTTCTCTGATTTATTTTTCTCATGTTTGTTACTTTATTGGTTATGCACTATTGCACTTACATGGTTGTGTGGCAGTACAATCTAATAGTTTATGCATTTCTGTATACCTAGTGCAATGACATACAACTGTTGCATATTTTTGTTTAAGTTCTTCAGTTGCTAGAGATATAATAGGTATCACATTTAATGTGTTGTTTCTCTTTCTTGTTTGAAGCCAGGTCACAGTGCAGCTTCTCACTTCCAAAACTGGTTTCAGGTACCATAAATGAGTTTACATTTAAGGATGTGCTTCTTCTGAAAATGATATATTTATTTAATGTTGTTATTACTTTCAGAGAATTTGAGCAGCAGAGGGAACTTAGAGAGAAGGGTCTACAGAACACCTCTGACCAAGGTACTCATGATGAATCTGCTGATAGCAAAGAGTCATCTCCTGACCAGAATGTCAATAATCATATTAATAAGGTTTCATATCTTCTCCCCTTTGCAAGCATTACTCTTATATTCCTTCTCTCCCCTGCTTGGTTGGAAGGGCTAAGGCATTCTTTAAAAATGAAAATAAAAATTACAGACAGAATACACATGCACATACATTCCTTTTTAATCTTAATGAAAAATACTTAGCAACTATGCGTTCTTCATGATGAAATATAACTTTGTTTTTTTATAACGAAAAAGATGTATCATCAGGTATCCATCCAATGTGTTTGTTGGTTTGATTTACTTCCTAAAAGTTAAGCATTTTTTTTCCCACTTGTTTGACACATCCCCACTTATTTATTTCATGAAATTAGGTTAATTCAAGAGTGAAATTGAAAAGAGAATCTAAAGATCTCCCCCGTATTTCTTCACTTGAAGGAGAATCAGGGGTAAATGAAGAGTATGCTGACTCAGCTGCTGGCTTTGATGGCTCATCTAGTACTTCTGGAAGCATATATACTGAAAAGCATGATATCTCCAGTACACATGAAGTGGACAGTCTTAAAAGCGCAGTCTCTGGTGATTTAGGTGGACTATCTCTTGGTCAAAGTCCTCAGCCAGAGAAGGGAGAGGCACCTGATAATCAGTTTCCCTCACAGGGAAGTGATTGGGTTCATGGTTGGAGCGTAGACTATTCAGCTGCTTCTGAAGATAGTAGCAGCAGCAAACTTAAGGGAAATCTGGCAGCAATTGAGTCATCTATTCTTGATCTAAAAGTGAAGGTAAGTTCTTTGCAAAACCATGCTGATGAAATAGGCGTTGAAACACTTAAGTTTTCTGGGCAACTTGCTACTGAGATTTCATCAGGAGAAGAGTTGGCAAAGGAGGTCACAGTACTAAAGTCAGAATGTTCAAAGTTTAGAGATGAGTTTGAGCAGCTTAAAAGTTCTAAGTTGAGATTGGCATTCACTCTCAAAGAACCTATTGATACAGATAGGGATAAATTATTTCAAAATTTACAGCATAAATGGATTAAGGGGCTTTTGCTCATGGAAGATAAGTTAAGAGATATTCAGAAGGTGTCTATGGGATTTCCTGACAGGGATTTTAGATTCCTTAACTTGGAGTTAGAAGCACTGGCTGTGATTTTGCAGAATCTCAAACAAGAATCAGGAGAACCAATTTCAGGGGCCAAAGCTGTCAATGAAAGAGAGAACAAGAAAAAGGATTTACATAAAAGTGAACAATTTTTAACAGATATTGGGTCTGATGCAGGTTTATTTCAACCCGAAAACATGAATCATTATCTTAGCATACCTGGCCTTGTGTCTAACGAGTTTGGTTCAGTTGATCCTACCCTTGCTATGAAAGAAAAAATCTTTGAACTTCTAAGAGAGCTGGATGAGTCCAAAACTGAGAGGGAAAGCCTTGTGCGTAAAATGGACCAGATGGAGTGCTACTATGAAGCTCTTATTCAGGAACTTGAGCAGAATCAAAGGCAGATGATGGCTGAGTTGCAGAACCTTAGGAATGAACATTCTACTTGCTTGTATACAATTTCTGCTGGTAAGACTGAGATGGAGAGAATGCACCAGAATATGAATGAGCAGATAATGAAATTTTCTGAAGACAATCGCATTTTGGAGTCTCTGAACAGTGAGTTTGAAAGAAGGGCTACTTCTGCAGAAGCAGCCCTTAAAAGGGCTAGATTGAACTATTCTATTGCCGTTGGTCAATTGCAAAAAGATCTTGAACTGCTTTCTTGCCAGGTTCTTTCTATGCATGAGACAAATGAGAATCTCATAAAGCAGACCCTTTCTGATTCTTCATATCCAAACACTGATGGTAGCCCAGAACCAGTGACATATCCAAAAAATTCAGAAGGTCATACTTCCAGTCGATTGCTAAGTCAAAACCACAGTTCTTCTTTACAAAGACAACATTTGGGTGAAGACATTTTACTTAGTGATTTGAAAAGATCACTTCAGTTGCAAGAGGGATTATACAGGCAGGTTGAAGAAGAAATCAGTCAAATGCATTTTGTAAATATATACTCAGATGTGTTTTCTAAGGCTTTGCAAGAAACATTGCTTGAAGCAAGTCTTGACATTCAACTCATGAAAGAGAAAATTGTTCAACTCTCCCAGCAGCTGGAGCTTACAAATGAATCCAATGAGTTACTGGTGTTGAGGTTGCAGAATGCTATGAATGACATTGTCTCGCTAAATGAGTACAAGGAGATTTGCACTGCAAAGAGCAATGATATTGCTCTCCAGAACCAAATTTTAGAGGCAAATTTAAAAGATCTTGTTCATGAAAACAATGTTCTTACTAAGAAAATTAATGAGCTGGAAGTTCTTCTAACAGAGTGTAGAAGTTTTGAGGACAAGTACATGGCATGCAGTACAGAAAACTCGGAATTGAAGAGTTTATTGAAAAAAGAGAGCCTAGAAAGTAATCATCTTCTCGGTGAAATATCCATTTTGCAAGAAGAGTTAAAATCTCTTGGAACTAAATTTGACGAGCAAGTTTCTATGAAGGATAATCTGCAGAATAATGTCATCTTTTTTTCTAATAAGTTGCAGAAATTGCTTGCATCATATGAAGAAAGACAAGGTGAACTTTCCCTTTGTAGTAGATCTGCCTGTATGGACTCAGAATGTGAAGACTTAGAAGGTCTCTTATTGCGACTAGAAGAGCTGCAACAGAGTGCGTTTCATAGAATCCTGCTACTCATTGAAGAGAAGGAGATTTTAGTGCATGAAAAACATATGGCTCACGTATCTTTAAATACTGCAGAATCAGATGTTCTAGTCATGAAACAGAAGTTTGAGCATGATTTGCAAGAGATGTTACATAAGATAAGTATGTCAGGTACTCTGTTGCAGAAACTTCAGTTAGATTTTGAGGTGATCATTGACAGGATTAATGCTGGTTTTGAAGCTGAAGAATTATATTCTCAGCATCACAAAGAATTTTTGTCTGGTCTGGATCATTTGGAAGCAGAGCTGCAACAGCTTAATTCCAGAAATCAGGACCTTGCTCAAGAAATAATAAAGCTAGATACTTCATCTAGTGACCTTGAAATGTGTAAGCTGACCTTGTTAACAATCATAGAGGAAAAGAAAGATTTGGAGTCATCTTTACAAGAAAAAACAGAAGAATCTGCCAAGATTTCATCCAAGCTTAATTCTTTGGAGAAGAGCTTGCATTCTCTGCACAATGAGTTGCATGCTGAGAAAACTGTCCGAGAGAAATTGGAGAAAACAGTTTCAGATCTTACAACAGATTTGAATGAGAAGCAAATCCAGCTGCAGGGAAAGAAAGATTTGGAGTTGTCTTTACAGGAAAAAATAGAAGAATCTGCTAAGATTTCATCTGAGTTTAATTCTTTGGAGAAGAACTTGCACTCTCTGCACAATGAGTTGCATGCTGAGAAAACTGTCAGAGAGAAATTGGAGAAAACAGTTTCAGATCTTTCCACAGAATTGAATGTGAGGCAAATCCAGCTGCAGGAAAAGAGAGATTTGGAGTCATCTTTACAGGAAAAAACCGAAGAATCTGCCATGATTTCATCTGAGCTTAATTCTTTGGAGAAGAACTTGCTTTCTCTGCATAATGAGTTGCATTCTGAGAAAACTGTCAGAGAGAAATTGGAGAAAACAGTTTCAGATCTTACCACAGAACTGAATGCGAAGCAAATCCAGCTGCAGGAAAAGAAAGATTTGGAGTTGTCTTTACAGGAAAAAAGAGAAGAATCTGTCAGGATTTCATCTGAGCTTAATTCCTTGGAGAAGAACTTGCATTCTCTGCACAATGAGTTGCATGCTGAGAAAACTGCCAGAGAGGAATTGGAGAAAACAATTTCAGATCTTACCACAGAATTGAATGAGAAGAAAATGCAGCTGCAGGAAAAGAAAGATTTGGCTTTGTCTTTACAGGAAAAAGCAGAAGAGTCTGCCAAGATTTCATCTGAGTTTAATTCTTTGGAAAAGAACTTGCATTCTCTGCATAATGAGTTGCATGCTGAGAAAACTGTCAGAGAGAAATTGGAGAAAACAATTTCAGATCTTACAGTAGAATTGAATGAGAAGCAATGTCAGCTTCAGGACTCAGATCTGAACAGACAAGAACTGATCCATCTGAAGCAAATGGTGACAGACTTAGAATTTGAAAAATCAAGAATCTCAGATCTTCAACTGAAATCTGAGGAACATCTTAAAGATGCTTTAAAACAATATTCTTCCATTAGTTGTCTGGAAACTCAGTTATCTGAAATGCATGAATTTTCTGCAGCTACAGATGTTGCTATGACTTATACAAGAGCTCAGTTTGAGGATCATATGGAGGAGCTTGCTGAGAAACTCCATTCTACTTGCAGGCAACTTGATGTGCTTCACAAGAAGAATCTTGATGTAGAATCTGAATTGGATGGATGTCTTTGCAGAGAACTGACTTGCATTAAAGAAAATACAAGATTGTTGACAAGTCTTGACTTCCTGAAATCTGAGTTAGAGGTCTTGACTGCTCAAAATAGAGCACTAATTGATCAAAACAGTGCAATGATGTCCGAGCTCAAGGAGCATGAGAGTAGGACAGAGAAGGTCAATGATACTTCTTATACTCATGAAAGACAGTGCATCCTTGAGGTTGAAAGGATGGAGCAATTGCTGGCAAGTTGTTGCAGAGATGCTGAAGAACTCTTCTTGTCCAAGGAAGAAGCTGAACTCAAGTGTATAGTTCTCCAGGACAAATTGGATGAACTGGAAACTGCATTCACTTCATTAAAACAATCAGACGATGAGCTGATAAGGCTGCAGAACCAATGTAATGAACTTACCAGGAGGCTTGCTGAACAGGTTTTGAAGACAGAGGAGTTTAAGAATTTGTCTATTCATTTTAAGGAACTAAAAGACAAAGCTGAGGCTGAGAGTCTAAATGCCCATGACAGAAGAGGACATGAAGGAGCACCGGTTGCTATGCAGGAGTCCTTGAGAATCGCATTTATCAAGGAACAATATGAATCAAAGTTGCAAGAACTAAGACAACAGCTGTCTTTGTCAAAAAAGCATAGTGAGGAAATGCTGTGGAAACTACAAGATGCAATTGATGAAACTGAGAATAGAAAAAAGTCTGAAGCTTCTCAAATAAAAATTAATGAAGAGTTGGGGATGAAGATTTTGGAATTGGAGGCTGAGCTACAGGCTGTAATTTCTGATAAACGCAATTTGTTAAATGCTTATGATCTTATAAAGGCTGAAAAAGAGTGTTCTGCAATAAGCCTTGAATGTTGTAAGCAAGAAAAGCAAGAGCTTGAAGCTTCACTTGTAAAATGCAATGAGGAGAAGTCCAAAATTGAAGTAGAGCTTACCTTGGCAAAGGAATTAGTTGAGACTTCAAAATCTCACGTGACTGCTCTGAATGAGGGCAATGGTGTATTCTCCTCTTCATTGAATCCTCAAGAAAAATCTACTCGTGAAGCTTGCAGTCATGAGCCAGAGAGTGCAAGTTTACTCGTCAATATGCAACCCAAGGTAACTGATTTATTTATTTATTTTAATCAAACATCTTTATTACCATTCACAAAGAAGAAATCAACTTATCTCTAAGATGATATATTGATACAATAATAAAAACATATTTTGATTGCAAAAAAATGTTGATTGTTCAAACTTCTGAAGGACACTAGCTATTATCTGAGTCTTTATTTTAGTTAAGAAAGGAATCTTAGTCTTTATTTTAGTAGTTGAATTATTCTCATACTTTCAATGATTATTGTTCTACTGTTCTTGTATACCTTGGTGATACAATCATATTATTAGGACTGTTTCATTTTAGAGGTTGAAACTTACTAAAGCAACCTACGTTGTTTATTAAATACCATATTAGAGCTAAATCTTTTGAAATACATTGTGCACGATTGTGATTACCTGGCTAGAAGAAAGTCCTACTAAACTTATGTGCAGGCCCCTAATTGCCTTTTTTCAGTTATTCATTCTGGACAAGTTATTAGCCATTAATAATTTATCACAGATAAGTACCATCCTTGAAAAATGTATTTTTTGTGGAAATCATTTTCTAGTTAAATGCTGATATCTAGGAGTTTTATTTGTAAAAAATATTTTTTTTCATTGGTATTCTTTGTTTATTACAAGTTAAGAACCATCTTATTAGGTTATTATGAATTGAGCATGTTGTTATATGTATTCATGGAGTGTGATAAAATACAACAGCAGTTCCTCTGTTGAGAATCTTAACTGCCTACAATAGAAGTCCGATATTTTCAATAATCTTAAGACTTTTGTCTTGCAATATTGATTGTCACTGTGTCAGTTGACTAGTTCACACGTAACTTTTCACTTAATGAAATGTGCATCCCTTTAAAGTTCTATGCAAGGAATTTGCAAGTATGGAATAAAAAATGGGAGTATGCATAGGAGAGAAAGGAAACTTTGGAATTGAGTATCATTTCTTTTCCTTCTTTCTTCTTTGCTTCCTATATTTTCTCTCGAGCTAAGCAATGCCTTTAATTTCTCTTGGTATGCCTTCTTCATTGATCTTGAGTGGTAAGACAACAATTTATTTGCATAATTATTTGATAGGATCCTCTTGCACCAAGTGTTATGAATGGATGCCAAACTCTTGGAACTGAAAAGGACTTGCACCAAGAAGAAGTAATGAAGCATGTGGCATCAACTGAAAGTTTGAAATCTATCATTGACCACTTGAATAAGGAGGTAATTTTTTAAAATGCATAAACAAGTTAAGTGTCATTATTTGTCTCTTTTTCCGTCTATTTTAGTTTCCATTTGTCTTTTCTTCATTTCTCTTTTGTTCATTACTCTTTTCTTTATTCCTCCAGTCTTCCTTACTCTTTAAAGCAGTACTTTGCTTGTCTAATATTGTGCTCTAGGGAATATAGATAGCTTTTGCGTTTTCCTGGTCTGAGTTGCCACATTTATAGTCTTGTCTGATCTCTAAGATCTGTTTTCTGATTGCAGTTGGAAAGGATGAAAAACGAGAACATGCTTTCTTCAGTAGATGATCATAGTCATGAGTCAAGTTTTCCAGGGCTGCAAAGAGAACTGATGCAGCTACATGAGGTAAAAGATTCTTGTAACTTGATGCATTGATTGCTTTGAAGCATACCTCTGTCTAGATTCTTATTAATTTTGTACTTTGCTCAGGCCAATCAAGAGTTAGGAAACATATTCCCTGTTTTTGATAAATTCTCTGTCAGCGGTAATGCATTAGAAAGGGTGCTTGCTTTGGAGATTGAGCTTGCTGAAGCGTTGCGGACCAAGAAGTCATCAAGCTTCCAATTTCAGAGGTACCCTCTCCTTTGCAACAGTAATGAGATTTGATAAAAGTTGCAATTTTGGAAGCATTTCACAAAAAGATTCCACCTCTTTCTTCATTTGATTAAAATATGATGAGTGATGACCAGTAAGATGCATAACTTCAGTTTCACGCTGGGAATATTTTGAAAAGTGATTTGTCAAGAACCAATTTATTCCACAAGCTAAATTTGTTTGGTATAGGTCAAACATGTCATATTTGTTAGATTTCATCTTAAAATCAATTGACATAAATAAGTTGTCCGATAGATATGTAAACTGCACTAGGAGAATTGAGGTAGACGGTGTGGGACTTCCTAACACTCCCCCTCCACTGATGTCTGCCAAACCAAGTGATGCCTACCAAAATAGGCAAACCAAGAAGATGGACATTAGGCTCTGATACTATGTTAGATTTATCTTTAAACCAATTATCATTAAGTTTAGTTGTTCAATAAATATATAAATCACACTCAGATATTTGAGACAGGTGATGTGAGACTTTGTAACATCCCTCTTCGACAGATGTCTATCGAATCAGGTGATGCCTGCTAGAATTGGTAAACCAAGAAGATGGATTCTAGGCTCTAATACCATATTAAATTTCATCTTAAAATAATTGGCATCAAGTGAAATTGTCCAAAAGATATATAAATCGCACTTGAAGAAATGAGGCAGACGATTTGGGACTTTCCAACAACATTCACCAAAAAAATATATCAAACATGTCACCTTTTCACTAATATGTTTAGCACAACTCCTCACGAAAGCCGTATGGGCTTGAAGCATGGGCAAAGCACAAGCCTACTTTACATTGTTCTGAAATCTAATTTAGTAAGGTTGAATTATGAATAAGCATGACAATTAAATCTAAACCCTTCGGTACTTGTCTGATCCAGACCTAACTTTGATCAAGCTTTTCTTTTGACGTGGAAGTTGCATGTATTTTCTCATTATTGATCTTGCCTTTTTTTTATTTGAGTATCTTGATTGTTTACTTCCGCTTAAGTTTCCACATGTTCAAATTCAATTGTTAAATGTATATTATGATTTCTTTTCTCTTCTTCAGAATCTGGTAGTGGCGGACATAAATCATTTTTTAAAAACTAATCTGACCCTTTTATCCAGAGTTATTAGCATTGATGCATTTTTCTTCTATGTTTCAGTTCTTTCTTGAAACAGCACAGTGATGAAGAAGCAGTATTCCGAAGCTTCAGGGATATCAATGAGCTAATTAAAGATATGTTAGAACTAAAGACAAGACACTCTGCCGTGGAGACAGAACTGAAAGAGATGCATGATCGTTACTCTCAATTAAGTCTTCAATTTGCAGAGGTTGAAGGTGAGAGACAAAAACTCATGATGACTATTAAAAATACTCGAGCATCTAAGAAGGCTTCAAATTAATTCATCAACCTACCACTTCCTTATAGCCACAGTAAGGAAGCATTTTTTACCCCCTTGCACAGGCTAATAATAATTCATGCTTGATTAAGATATTCGTGGCCCCATCATATCTACCCTTCTGTTTATTATATATATAGATAGATAGATTATGCTATATAAGGGGCCCCATCAGCTATGGCAAGAGGTTATATTTTTGCAAGGGTTGGTATGGTGTTACATCATTTCCAAAGTTAAGCAGCAGATAATACTTTTGTGTAAATAAAATAATATGTTAAGAATCCAAGTATATATCCCTGTAACATCTTTGACCCGAGCCTGAATACTGCAATTGTTTTTCTGTACAGGAACATTATTTCTATTTAAAACAATTTTGTGAAAACTTGTTTTTCCAGCGGAACTAGCTATATGTTTCTATGTATACACTCTGGATTGTTGTTGAAAATTAGTCACCATTTTCAGTGCTAAATACTTGGAATGAATATTATAGCTATCAAAAAAAAAAAAACTATATGTTTCTATGTTTGTAATTAAAACCATGTTAAACCAAATATTGAGATTGATTATCTGGATAGTTGGTTGTTAAGTCAGAAAGTTAAGCTATCAACTAGTTTAAGCTGTAAGGTAAGAATCCAAGTCAAATCCTCTGAAGCACAGAGATTTTGAATGGTATCCAAATATTCCCTTTGCAAATGGCCCCACCGTTTTACTTAAGCTGTCACAAACATGATAATAGGTGTATCTGGTTAGGTATTTTACAAGTTATTTAATTAGTTTATTTGACTAAAAATAAGGAAATAATTTATTACATTGATAATATTAAACATAAAAGAGTTTTTTATTTTTATTTTTATTATTTTTATTATTTTTATTATTTTTATAAGATAATGAACTTTAAATATGTTTCTAGTCTTGTAATATATTTTTCATGACTAAATTAGTCTTTTGGTTCTTCATTTTATTTAATTTGATCAATTTGATCTCTATTATTAAAAGGTTTAAGTTAGTCCATTAATTTTTTTTAAATGAACCAACATGGCATGTATTATCATTACATGTATTAAAAATTTAATGTTGTTAATTTCAATTTGATAAAAAAATATTATATTGTTTTATTTTTAGGCTAAAAACCTATTTTGGTCTCTTATAATAATTGTTTGTTTCAATTTAGTCCTATTTTTATTTTTTGTCTCAATTTGGTCCCTAATAAATTAATTGGTTGCAATGTGGGACTTTCGTCTAAATTATTTAAACGGAGTTAACTATTGACCACGTGGATGCCACGTAGATGCACAGGTGGATGCCAAATTTCTTGAAAATACCTGGAACCAGAACGGCCGGTTCTGAAACTAGAACGGGCCGTTCTGGGTGCACACTTTGTGTGTTAATTTTGCATCTAAAACGGGCCGTTCTAGATGCAAAATTAACACACCACGAGTACAAAAGAACGGCCCGTTCTAGATGCAGAACAGTCCGTTCCAGAACTATAATAATTTTGAAAAATATTTTATGATAAAAATTTTAAAATTACTTATTTTTATAAAATACAATTGTCTTATAAATAGAGTGATAATTTTTTCTTTTTCTCTTTCTGTCTGAAGAAATATTTAAGTGTCACTTAATAATTTTTGCAACTTATTTAAAATTAGAAGAATAAAATGATAAAAATTAATAGGATAAACATAATAAAATTATTAATTTATTTTCTTTTAGTGTCCTCTAAATTTTTACACTCATTTAAAACAAAAATATTTTATGTTATTTTGAATTAATTTAACGAAGTATCATATGATTTTTAATTTTTTTAAAAATTTTATAAATTTGATCAATATATGAAAAGTTTTTTAATTTAACAATTAAATTTTTAAAAATTTGATATAGAATATTAATTATTAAGTAAAATAAATCTATCAAGACTTAATCTTGAAGTAGGTGAATTTTTTCTTCATTAAAAATGAAGATAATTTTACCAAAAAATAAAAAAATAATTAAACAATAAAATAAAATATAAAAAAATATATTAATGTATTTATTATATTAGATATAACAAGATAATTAAAATATAATTAATAATATATATTTTATAAAATTATTAATATTTTATATATAAAAAAAAAAGAATGATTTTTTTTTTACTATGATTAATTTAGATTTGTCCCTGCATGTGGTTGTGTGGTGAAATGTTAGTTCTGTGTATCCTCTTCCTTTACTTCAGGTTCTACCTCTTTAAGAATAGGTTGTTGGCGTACATCGTTAATGACTTCAAGAAAAAATACCATGTCATTTCATCCTTTACTGTATAGTGTCAATTTGGTAGTAAGTGGTTCACTCTAGTTTGACTAACAATGAAATAAAATTTGTTATCATTGTCTTTAGTGATACACTGCATTTTCCTTAATGATATACTGTATAGCCCAACTGTTTAGCAATTGAAGTTATCAATTTTCATCGACAATATTACCAAATCTAGTGTTTGAAATGCTTTGTACTTTGGGTCTTTTTCCTTCCACGATTCACAACCGTGAACTATAATCATTGACAGTTTGTGTTTAACAGTGTGGAACCAGAACAACCTGTTCTGAAATTAGAACGACCCGTTCTTGTTGCATTTTTAGTGTGTTAATTTTGCACCTGGAACGGGCTGTTTCGGATGCAAAATTAACACACCGAGACTGAACCCAGAACGGCCCGTTCTGGTTTCAGACCGACCGTTCTGGTTCCAGGTGTTTTCAAAAAAAATTGGCATCCACCTATGCATCTACGTGGCATCCACGTGCATGCCACGTGGCCAACAGTTAACTCCGTTTAAATAATTTAGACGGAAGTCTTACATTGCAACCAATTAATTTATTAGGGACGAAATTGAGACAAAAAAATAAAAGTGGGACTAAATTGAAACAAATAATTATTATAAGGGAGCAAAATAGGTTTTTAGCCTTATTTTTAAATTGAGTGATCAAATTGAAGCTTTTAATTTGAAAGACCAAATTAACTAATTAAATAAATTGAAAGATTAAAAGTGTAATTTAACTTTTTTTTTAAAAGGACCCTTATATATATTGTTTTAGTTTCTATGATTTTTGGCTTATTTTGAATTAATCTTCGTAAAAAAAAATAACAGGGATTAGAAGCAAATTATCTACATGCGTATGACCCAAATTTATTGTTCCCACTCATAAAAATAATCTTCTCACTAGATATATCTCTAGCATATTTTTATGAGAATGAGATATATAAATTTAAATAATGTAACTCTATAGATTGTCAAGATTTAATGTCGCGTGTCTATTTAAAAATTTATATAACTTTTTTTTTACTGAAAAAAATTATACAACTTAAAATCTCATAATTTGATTATTCATAAGATGATAATCAATATTTATTTTTAATCTCTTATGCTCACGTTAAAAAAAAATTCTGACTAAACGCATGTGATTTTTGTGGACCTGGACCTAGATTTTTTGGCGTCTCTTTCTCCTCCCTTCATTATTTTTGCGTGTTTCTTCTTTTAATTTTTCTTTTTGGTAGAGAAGCACGAGCATATATAATTTCATGTGGACCTTTGTGCCTTCCATCATATGGATCACACATGCAAAAATATCTCAGCTACGAACCACTCACATGGCCCATTCAGTAACATTCTAGTGTTCATATACAATCCTCGTTACGATGTCTATCTCCTTTCCCACTCCTCTTTTTCTTTAATATTAATCATATTTATCTCTCCTATAACACATGCAGCCATGAAGCGTGAAAAATCATTTGAAGATTATTTTGCTGGTGGAATTATGATATAAATGTTTAAAGGATTCATTTCACAAAGCCAATTTAGAAACTAATGTGGTGGTGTATGTGATTTTGACGAATTAAATTGAGGATTTTCTCATTTATTTTTATTTTTAATTTTCTTAAATACGTCATTTTATACTAAAATTAGGGTTATGTTTGATTGAACTTTTATTTATTTAAAATTATAAAATAAGGTCTGTTAAACTTAATTATATAATAAATAACATTAATATGATCAATTTAATTAATCATTAAATGCAATTAGTTGTGCTAAATTTAATTGTTTTGATCAACTTCTAATAAGAGAGATTTAAATATAATTATATCTAATAAATGATTTTACAAAGTTAAAACTTCGACCAATGGCTAATGTTTGTTCAAGTCTTTACTTAAATTTTAATAACTAAATTTGGAAAAATATACACCAATATATATGAGAAGTGAATTTACGTAAATTTACTTCATTTAATAAATAAATAAATATATGTTGATTTAAATTAAAATAAAGTATTAAATATTTTTAAATTTTTTAAAAATTTACGAACTTAATCTATACATTAAGAATTTTAAATTGAATCGTTGAGATTTAATATAAAATATGAATTATTAAATGAAATAAATTTAATTGAAATAAACAAATCTTTTATATATATATATAAAGTCAGCATTCGTTAATATCATAATGTCAAATTAGTAAAATATCGGTATCAAATTAGTGAAATGACATCTTCAATAATTTTTTTATAAAATACAAAATTCAATAATTTAACCATTGTATTTGATAATAAAAATTAATAATTTTAAATTTTAAAGGATAAAAAATAATGAAATTTGTCTACAAAGATCAAGATCAACACTTACTCAAAAACCTAAAATAAATTATACTTTTAAATGACAAATAATTTGAAATGAATAAAATACAAAAAAAAAATAACAATACAAGTGCATTAATAAAATATTGCATTTTTCCATAAAAAATGCTATATTTTTATTATTTAATTCCTTGACCAAGAGCCTTGAACACTCGTTAATATTTTCCATGCCATATTCGGCTTCTTATTCGTATTATCTAATGTAATCTAATGACACTAATGAATTTCTCTGATATTATTCTAGCATATCATAGTACCGAAATTGACAATTCCTATGGGGAGTTATTTCCCTCGTATGAAAAGATTAATTGCTACAGGCAAAATATTACAGCAGTCGCTATTTTGCTGACACCTGACTCACTGAAAAGACAAATGGACCCAATCCCATTCCCATGACACGAGGCTAACACGTGTAACTTCCAACAAACTGATACATTCACATCTTATCACATTCATTGCTTGATTTTCCATCTAGATATCAATAACTTGGCAACTGACTAGTTCAGCCTGCCCAAAATCCCTGTTGGCAACTACCCTCCAAACAATTGCTGCATCTGATTCAGCAGCAAGTTCTGGAGATTCATGCAATGTACTTTGTGACAGAGTTGACACTGAAGGTGAAGACTCCAAATTATTGCGCAGGCAAGCCTGCAGAACAGCAATATGATGATTGGCATCTTTGGTAATGACATGAAGCTTTCCATGGAAACCAGCTAGTAGATATGGGGACTCTGATTCAGCATAATCATATATGGGCACTTTTCCTATAACTACTTTCCATGCATCTTCACCTTGATCATATACCTTGATCCTCCCACTATCCATAGAGTTAGAAGGATCAAAAGCATATAATTCACCATCCACCACAACACTCAATTTGGTACCTGCCTGCTTTGCAGGCCATCCCTCACCCATTCCAACTGGCATTTCTATCCATGAGTTAGTTTCAGGATCATAGATTTCTCCCCCAACATCAACAAAAAAAGGCCATGAATAGAGACTTTGTGGAACACACAACCTTCCCATGTATGAGGTCAGTCCTGTGGCAATAGGCTTTAACATGTCAGCCAAAAAAGCACTAGGCAGGACTTGAGCTCTAGAGAATGGCATACTAGGTACATTCGACCATGTATCTGTAGAAGGGTCAAAAACTTCAGCAGATTGGAGTGGAACCAGTCCAGCTTGACCTTGACTAACCCCTCCAACAACATAAAGCTTGTTATTTAAGATGCCTGTCTTACAGTATGCACGACCTGTGGACATAGAAGTCACCTTGCTCCACATATTTTGTATCGGATCAAATCGCCAGACACTTCTCATAGTTGAAGCCTTAGAGAATCCACCAAGAACATAGAGACATCCATCAACAGCTCCAATTGCACAACCGCAAAAGGGCATTTCATCAAATGCATTCTTCTGTCCAAGAAAGCCTCTAATAACTTCAGCAATTCTGATACCCTCCACCACGTTCCACATCCAAAGCCTAGAAGAACGTTTTCTAGATTCTTCTTCGTTAACCAAATTGGGCATATTAGGCACTCTCTGCCATATCTTAGAACGAGGATCTAAAGCATGCCACAGAAGATTATTTTCTCCAACCTTAATCAACAGATACAGCCACTCTTCAGTTGTTCCAAGTTCTTTTCTTACTTTATATAGTTCCGAACTCATGATAGTTGACTTCCATTTCTTTGATACCAGCCTTACACTGAAGTAACAAATTCTAGGAAGTCTAGCAATAATCTGAAGTGATAACTCATCAGGGAGATGAGGAATTAGTCTTGGACTCTCTTCATCAACAGCAGGTGACATTCTTTGCCTCTTACATGTCTCATTTGGAGAGACCCCATTCCCTTCAATTTGGTCAGATTTTGAATTCGCCACACTGAAAAATGAACCCATGTCTAGAAAAACTCAATATCTGCATGAAAAACAAATCACCAGGAGAGGAAATTTGAGTTCTCAAAACTAGGCATTGTAAGCATCAAATGACCCCTTTCTATCCAGTAGAAATTAAAGAGACAGAAAAGCAGTATAATCAGACAACAACCCATCACTCAAAACAATAAAACAACGAGAGAAATGCAACTGCAAACACTCTCCAAGGACTTTAAAGGCAACAGGATTTTCCCTTTTGAAAAGAAATTAAAAAGAAAAACACCCACATGACTCCTTCACTCCCCAGATTCCCGGAATGAAGAAAACAATTGACAACTTGTTGCAGATAAAAGTAGTAAAATCATCTACACAGTGGCCATCGGAAGCAGGTAATACACAAGGGAAAAAGGAAAAGTATCACATCATCCAATATATCAGAATATGCAGATCCAAGACAATCCAGAGCTGAAGCATAATTGAAAGAAACACCCGAACCTAAACAAAATTTCAGAAATTCACCTTCCTCAGATGTAATTCAGGCAGGACAACAATATTTTGAAACCATTTTACCCAAAAAAAGAAAAATCTAGAGTTTCCAAGCAGCACTTGAAAAAAGTATTTTCCCCCCTTCCCCTGATTCCCTACTTCTCCAAACACATCCCATACGCAAAACTTGAAAGGATGCGCATTGAAATTGAACAGTAAAATTAGAGTCAGAAAAAGGAAGAACCTAGTAGGAACAGAGAATTAATTAAAATCAAGGAAAGAAAGAGAAAGAGAAAGAGACACTTACAGTGAAATAAATAAAATTGAAACATGTATGAGTATGAGAAGATTTGAGATTCAGGAGAGAGAAGGTAATGGATTGAAGAATTAAATGAAAGAGGGGAATGATGGAAACGTAAGAACGTGGGAAAGTGGCATGGCATTGGCATACATACATCATCGCATGGCATTCGCACAGTTCAAATTGAAAGTTCCATTGCAGCTTCCAAATTCCAACAACCAATGTTAAATCCAAAATACTAAAATCTAATCAGTAATCACCTCACCATTACTCTAATCTAACACGTGGCTGCACGTTCACTGTTCACATCACTCCGCCCATCTATGATAAATTTAAATAACTACTATTTTATTCCGCCTATAATACAAAATCAATATTTATTATTTATAGTTTAAATTTTATACTAATTTAATATTTTATTTTGTAGATTGTAAATTAAATTTTGAAATAAATTATACTTTACGTTTACGAGAAATGATTTATATTGTAATAATTATATAATTTTTCTTATATACATACAAATTAACATATAAAATATTTATCTATTTAAATTAATAAAATAAAATATTAAATAAATAAATAATTATAAAAATATTTTATACGTTAATTTGAATTTATATAACAAAATATCATATACTTTTCAATTTTTTTAAAGATTTATAGACTTGATTTATACATTTAAAATTTTTAATTCAACGTTAAATCATTAAAATTTGATGTAAAATATGAGTTATTAAATAAAATAAATTTACAAAAACTTATTTTTAGAGTAAGTAAATCTCTTTTGACGCACACATTTAAAACTTCTAATTCAACAGTTGAATCGTTAAAATTTGATGTAGAATATGAATTATTAAATGAAATACTCACACGTACTTTTTATCATGAAGTATTACTTTATGAAAAAAGAAAATTGTGAAATAAAATGGAGATAATAATTTTGAGGTACAAATATTTATTTCATACTTATAATTTTATAAATTTATAAGTTTTATTTTTTAATTTTTATAATTTTTATTAACATTTTTATTTTTTATCTTATAAGTTCATATATTTTATATTTTAGTCATAATAAATAAAAGACAAAAAACTATAATGAAATAAAAACAATATGTGTAAATTAAAATTAAATATTTTAATTATAAAATTATAAGAATCACATCAATATTTACATATAATTATTATTGACTTAAGTAAAGACATGTCTCTGTTATTGTTTTCTTTTCTTTTGGTTCTACTACGTGTCTGCTTTGTTGAGTAAAAGGAGTAACATATGTATTCATGATGAGTGGTGTTTTTTTAGAGAATCTTGAAAACAAGGTGACGAGTGTATTTTTTTTAATCAAAATAATCTTCCTATGATAAGTTTTAGTATAATGCATACTAAAATTCATGATGATAAATTAACCATAAGGCGGTGACATGTTCACTAATTAATAAATAATTTCAAATCATAATATTTATTCTTTGCTTTTATAGTTGAATTCATGAATACTATTTTCGTTGTTTTTACAAGATTAAATACGTGTATAAAATGTGTGAGTTTTGGTTTTACTTTCGGAAAAAACTATTTTTTTATCTTCTAAAATTTAGAATTATAATTTTTAATTTTTGTAAAATAAGTAAATTTTAATTTTGATCAAGAGTTATGAATTATTAAATAGAACACATCTTCTCCTTATTAGTCGCTGATCTAACGGGATAATTTGAGTTTTTAAACCTCCTATCACACAAAATAAATAAATAAATAGAACGCATGAAAAAGGAGTATGCCTACATATTTCGTACCTCACGTGTCTCGGCTCCCCGGGTTGACCCTTCTTATTTTCTCGTTTCACCAAACATCCCCATCTTTCATCATTTTCCAAAAACAAAAAAACCTTCTCTACCCAATTTCTTTTTTGTCGTTACCTATCCATCTCATATATTTTTAAGTAATTTTATAGAAAACGAGGATTCATTTTTAATTTATTTTAAAATATATTATAATTTTATCATATTAAATTTAAAATAAATATATTTTTATTTATATTTTTTTCTAAATAAAATTAATATTATAAAGATAGAATCATAACACAAATTCTACATGAAAAGTATTAAAAGTTACAAAGTTGTTATAAAATAAAACCATACTAATTAATATATATATATATATATATATATATCCATATAATTATGAGCATTTATTATTTCAATTTATTTTATATTTATTAAATATAATAGTTTATATATATATGTGTTTATCATAAATTAGGAAAAGTTATTAAAATATTGATTGTTTGTTGTAATTTTAATTTTTCAACTTCATTGTGCTATTAATATGATTCATGGGACAATTGAAACAATTATATTTTTTCTTCTTCATATTTTAGTTATATTCTATTTCGAATATCATTGAATTATAAGATGTTAAATAAAATTAAAGATATAAATAATGAAGATTATAATATTCAAAAAATGTTATAATATTTTTCAAAAATATATTATTATAATTGAGAAGACATTATTATTATTCTCATTATGAAATTATGCGATTTTTCTTTCTAAGCCAATTTGCAAATAATTCAATTAAAGAGACAATAATTATATAATTCTTATAATATAACATTCATTATAAATTCATTGAAATTATTTAATTCAAACTTAATTACTTATTTTTGTGTGATTATCATATTCAAGCCAATAAAAATGAAGGTAAAAATACAAGGTAGAAAAAATTATAATAGATGATATTATTGGAAACTAAACCCACTTTTAATTATTTTTCTAGAGTGTTTGATAAACAAATTTTTGTAACTTATTATAGTTATACATTTCTCATTTTAAAATTTTTAAATTTTCAATAAATTTTTTAACATTATTTTTAAATATATTAAATAAAATGTTACTAATATTTTTATTTATTTGTATTTATCTAAAAAATAAAATTATCTATGATAATTATTAATGGGTAATAATCAACAATAATATCAATAAACATATAGTACTAATAAATATATATTTGTCAATACAATCAATTATCATATATTATTTTCATTTCCATTTATAATTATAACACTTTCATTTCATTATCCGATTTGATAGTTGTTATTAAGAGTTCTAGGACCGAAGACCTTGAAAGCAAGTTAATCTTTGAAAGGTTGGATCAGAGATAAGTAGAGCTGGCTCAAGAAAGGTATAAAAGAAATTTTTTTTAAAAGGAAGCTCACAACTCAAAAATTTTCAAGGACTCTAGAGAGGAGTTAAAAAATGGATTACTACTTCTTTATTTCTTTCTTCATTTTCAATTGAACCTTCCTTTCTTATCATTTTCTCAGCCGACTCTACTCAGAGGAAGCAAATATTCAAGTACTGAGGTTAAAGCTCTAGCGGTTAGAGCACGAAGTCATCTTTTTTCCTTCTCCTTTTGCAGATTGATTCTCTAAGAGGTAAGGGAAGTTATGATTTGAATTCTTAAGAAGGTTGTGGAGTTGAAATGTTGAATATGAGTTAATTTTTGAGTTGTTAAGATGATTGGATGGTAAACATGATGAAGTTGATAAGGTTTTGGGGCTTGAAGGGAAGTAGAAGAGATTGAGTGATTCTTGATTTCTAATTGTTGCATGTTGTATTAGATGATGAAACTATGTTGTATATATGGTATAAATGTTGTTATTGTGTTGCATGTTGTGGGAAGTTGCTGATTTTTAGGAAATTGGGTGAAATCGGGTTATGCACAAATGCAAAATTTGATGTCAAGTGCCTTCAAGGTGCTAAGACGTCGGGCATGGTTCTAAAAGAGAGGTCTCTATCTCACTTGCACTAGGAGCAAGGTTGGTGATGTTGGGCATGAGGAGAGACTCATCTTGGGTTGAAATCACGTTGGGCATGGGTTGAAAGTTGTCGGACGTGAGGAGAGAGACTTATCTTTGCCTGAATTCACATCAGACACTAGAGTGTGTGACGCCAACATGGGTCAGGAAAAAAGCTCTCTACCTGGTCAAGACCAAGCATGGATGTTGCCACAGTAAGCATGGGAGTGTGGAGCACTCTCTACCTTGATTATGTCGGGCAAAAGTGGTGTGACGCTAGGCATGCGTGAGATAAGGAGCTCTCTACCTTAGTGATGTCGGATGCCTAGTGAGTGGTGTTGGGTGTGAATTGAATGATTAGAAGTTGTTATTTAATAAGGTTTTACAATTGATTGATGGTGAATAAGGTACATGACGAAGAGTTGGTTCTTAAATGTTGTTTTGTAATTGATGAATGATGAACAAGTTGTGTAAGTAAGATAGTATATTTGTTGATGAGTGGTAAGTTGAATACGTTGCAAAGTTGTAAGTTGTTTTAGTTGCTTAAGTTGATTTCTGATGTTGTTTACTCAAGATGTGAATATTGTAAAGATGTATGATGTTTATGTCGTTTAAGTTACCAAGTTGTAAAGTTGATAAGTTGAATGTTAAAAGTTGATAAAGCTGTGAACTTGATAAGCTATAGGCATGTGGGTTAGATACATATCTTAGTTACACGATACATAAAAACTAGAGGGGAGTTAAAGATATTTTCGAACTTAATATCCTATTATGTGGATATATGTTGCGATGCTCCAAGAGTTTGATTGAAACCTTTTAGTAGGTAAGTTGACCTTTGAATGAGTAGTTGTTTTTCAGCCGTCTCCTCTAGATTCTATGTGATATCCGTGTGTGGGCAAGATTGAGACACACATGTATAAAGTGACTAACTGAGTAAAGCATCGGGTCAAAGACTTAATCTCTAACCTAGTATTGGAGGGTTGTGGTATTTGGAGGTAATCAGTAGGATAATCTCATAGGTGGCTATGTAGACTAATGCCATGATAAGCCCATACCCAAATTGTTTTATCTTGACATAGTACTATACTTTCTTATTTAAGTGGTGAAACTTGAGAAATCAATCTAGTTTATGCTAGCCATTGTTTCTAGCCTTGTGCTAGTCGTTGTTTCAAGCCTCAATATTAGTTGTTATTTTTGGTATTATACCAGTCGTTGTGATTCAGTAGGGTCAAGTCACTTAAACTTCTCATCCTAAGATGTAGGAGATCTTCATAGTTGATATGTGTGAAAACGCATTAGATATGATGTCTATGTATATATGTTGATATGATGAATATGTTGTGAAATGTTAAGTTGTTATGATGATGATGTTATCATATTTTAATTTTAATTGTTTTAATAAGATGGTATTTTCATAAGCTATTATGTTAAATTCTTTTCACTAATTTATCCTATGTTTTTCTTGTGGTTGGAATTGTAATGATCAATATTGGTATGAGAGCAAGACATGTTAGCGGAATGGCTTGTGCAGTTGAAGACTAGTCACGTTGGAAGTGGCTAGATTTTGTTGATGACTACTCTTATACAATTGAATTTTGTATAAATACCGACTGACACTTAGGTTTATTTTACACCTAGTACTATATCTTGTATATGACATATATATATTTGATACTAATTAATTACTACTTGTATTATAACCTTTAGTTCAAATATATTTTCTTTAGTCTTTCATTATACAGTAGCATCGTAATAACTTACTGAATTGTTACAATAATTAATAATAGATAATTGCTATTTATCTATAGCTGACATTTTAAATAAATTCTATCTCTTAATTTATAACTAATGTAATTAATTTTTTTAGAGAATAATTATTAATAATATATAATTACTAATAAAATTATTAGGTACTTAATAAAGGAGGTGTATTCATAAAAAAAAAGTCATATCATAAGTCAAGACACGGTAGAATAACATGTAAATATTTTTATTGAAGTGTCAATACTTTAGATAAATTTAAATTGACGGAACAATATAAGACTGGAACTCAACTTTTATATTATAAATAAATAAATTATTTTAATTTAACTTTAATAATTCAATGTATTATTCATGATATTATGTTTTATGTTCATGACCATGATGTTGTGTATCGGTTATCTATCATCAGTTTTCCTTTTAAATTTTAACACTAGTATGAATTATTTTAGAACGCATTCGGTTAACCTAAAAGGTGTGCCTAATTCCCTAACCAACGCGAAACAATGATTTGTATCTTTAAATAAAACTTGGACAAATGTAGCAGCTCTAGAGTCTAGAATATGTCCACACGAAAGTTTAGGAGCAAAACACTACCTGCGACTACCATCAATTTGGTCCACCCCCTGTCGAGATTCATTTCTATGTTTAGATAAATTTGGTTTTATTTTGCTACACTAGACTAGACCAGAGAAGAAAAGTTGAGAATCACATGACGGGGGTCATGGGCCTTAGAGGGGCAGAAGCAGGCCGGCCCAAGTAGGCATTACGATCTCCAAATGGAAGCCCAGAAGCGTCATATTCGTATGTGACGCACAAACGTAAATCCCCGGGAGGCCCACCTTCACAGTCCAAATTAGAAAACGAAGCTTCCTTGGCCAACTCTTCCTCAAACCCAGATCCACGTTCTTCTTCATCAACACGCTCAAACTGAAACGCTTGGTTAAATTCAAAATCCTCGTCATCGATGGAGTAACCTCCGTCACCGTCACCGTCTTCCGAGGCTAACCTCATGGCGAGTCTCCCGTCTTCTCGACGCGCTTCAATGCAATACTCGTGACGCCTGAGTCTCTCCGCCGTTAGGGTTAACCTTCCGTCACCGCCATATTCCCTTTTGAAAGTCCAAGGCATTTCTCCCGTTTCTCTCAGGAACGTTAACGGTGGTGGAAACTCTCGGTTCCTTTTGCTTCTCGCTCTGCACCTCGCCTTTCGAGGCTCAGCTCTCACTTCCTCAAAATCGGTGATCATGCAGTCCCCGCTCTCCGTTCCGATCACGTCGCCCAGCATGCTTGGGAACGCCGCTGAGTACGGTGGCCACAACGGTGATAGCGGTTGCGGCGGCGGTGCCGATGGTTTGGGCTTCGCGGTTTCCACTGTTTCGCAGCGGTGTACGACTCTCGGGGGTGGTTTTTGTTCTGAGGGAAGTAGGGTTTTGAGCCCTGCTTGGCCTTTGCCTGTACGCTGTCGTTTTGGGGCCTTGTCCAAAGGGAACGCTAGCTTGGGTTTCCATGACATTATGGAACTATAAAAGGATGAAGTTATGTTGGATAAATATTTGTTCAACATCTCCATATATATCTTTTTTCGTCCAAAAGGATTGATCATTGATGCTTAGTTTTATCCTTTTCCTCTTATGCCCTAGCAGCTGGTTCCAGCATTAGAGGGAGCCACGAATTATCCTGAAACAAATTAAATGGAATAAATAAATAAACGTGCCTTGTGGATAGATATATCCCAGAAAATTGTTTCCATTAATAGGAAAAATTATCCGGTGGTATAAAAATATCACATTAATCGTGTAATTAAATGTTATCAAATTAAAAAAATTTTGAATAAGAATCTTATAGAGATTAGTTCAACCATTAAAATTGTATTAGTCCTATAATTTCTCTGCTAGTAGACAATGAAAAAAATATAAATATAATATCAATAAAGTAGCATTTACATTGTGGGATGTAAAAAATCGTAACACTAGCTGGAAGTCAATTAAGATATTTTGGATGATGTCAATGTAATGAATGCATGGAACCTATAGAAAGAATTGTGTGGAGATAAAACAGGACATTATGGTTATCTTAAGTATCATGGTAATCTATATATGTTGCTTTATAATGAAGTACACGTGGCGTGTGCCAGTGATTATTTTTTGTTATATATGCATATGTATTCCTCTTTAGTTTTTCTGTTTCTATATGCAAATGTAATAGCGCCGTTGTTGTGTGTATTTTCATTTTTTTCCCCAACACAGGCTTTCGGTGCCGAGGCAAAACGAAATTTGAAAGAAAAAATAGAATTAGTGTCCTGAGCATGAAAATCAGAAAAATAAATAAATAAAGAGGCTGACTGGTGTTCTTATAATTAAAATTGAAAATGTTATCTTTAATGGGGCTTTAAATAAGAAGAGAATTGTTCAAAGGATTAATCCAAACATCTCGCCTCTTTAAGAGAGAAAATCGAGGCTAATTTATGGCTTTTTATGACTAAGTGCATATAAAGATCCTGTGCCTTTTCTTTACCACTGGTAGAGTGAAAATGGAAAGAAAATAAAAAGGTGAAAAAAAAAATCAGGGTTTAAAAATAGGCAAGAATCATGACAAGGGATTAACTAAGAAGTACAAGAACATATCCCAGAATGAATCATCTCATAAAAAATTGAGCATGTAGGTTTCAAATTATGCAAAGTTAATTTCTCTTTCTCTCTCTCTAAAGTCATGTTTAAAAAAGAAAAAAAATTAGAAAAATGCAGAATCGAAATTTTTGGATTATCATGTTGAAAATTATATTTGAACGCATACATACAGAATTGAGCAGCGGTACAATCTGAAAGAGACACATGAAAGGAGAAGAGTTCTTACTTTGTGACTGAAGAGTGAGTGAGCGAGGGCGCGTGACTTCATTTTTCTCTGCCATGCACCTAAAAAAGACAGATAAAACGAAAGAAAAACGAGAAGTCACTGTGGGATCAATGGGAATGCATTGCATTGCAGACGGAAAATTGGTATGGGGGAAATTAAAGTGCGGTATTTATAAGAGAAGGAGCGTGTTTACAGTGTTACATAGATAGGTGCGTTAATTACCTAGAATACCCCTCTTTGGCTTGAGTGAGAAGCTGTTGAGAGAGGGATATGAAAGTCTTTTGCAGTGTATTGGAAAGAGGTATGTCTCGTTCGGTGAATAGCTAGTACGTCAAGAGTATGCGTTATGTTATGAAGATGTGCACTGCACCATATAAGATCTGAGAAGATTGAGAGGATAAGAAACAATGAACAAGTTTTCGCATATCCAACAACAGATTTTGTTGGTTTTTGTATCCCTAGCTGGCTTCTTTTCTTTACTCACACCTCTCCTCACACGTTACTCTTTTTTTCCTGCTCTATGTGTGCTTCTTCCTATTTTATTACATGCTAATAAAATTAATTAATACTTCAATTTAAAGATAAAATGTGTTTTATCATTTAATGCTTTATTAGGTAAAATTAGTTTTAATTTTATTAGTGCAGGTATATCATCTAATTTTCTCTATCATTAATTTCTTTTAGCTAGAAATCTAAATCCCAGATTTTTTTCTCAATCACATTTTTAATGCTTACAAAACTCGAATTAATTTGAAAATTTACATAATGTGATACGTCCAAATTCATTTGTATTAAAATCTTGTTGATTTTAATTCTTATATTTTAAGAACAAGACTTCGGTTCATGTATTTTTTTTCAAGTGCAATGAATTTTGTTTCGTCAAGTCAAAATTTGACTAAATTTATCTTAGGAACAGGCGAGCCAAAATTGACAGTTCTAAAATGTAGAGATTAAAATTAATTTCAGTTAAATTCTGAGGAATCTAAACCGCATTTTATCTAAACTTTAATCTAGTTGTATCTTCGTACGTTAACAGACACAAAGAAAACTTTGAAGAAAAATTTCATACAAAAGTTAAATAATAAATGAAGAAAAAAAACTGGAAGGAGTTCCTTTTTTTAAATGTACATTTAACTGATCTCTTTATCTTAGAAAGTTTAAAAAGATGAAGCGTTTAATATGGAAAAGTATGTGGTTCAGCGCTTGTTGTTGCTGAATGTGCATGAATCTTGAAGGTGGGTTTGGTGCATACATTGTGCAAGAGAAGAAATGCAAGCGTTACCGTCGTCTTTAATGATTAGATAATATTTAAAAGTGGGTGAGAGGGGCTTGACAGTGCTTGGTCGGTAGCCATGGTTTGATACGTTAGGTGTCAAAATTCTTGGTTGGATGTTTGACTCTGGTCAAATGGTTTCAAGTTTGAGAAATGGTTTCAGTCTTTCAGCTCCTTCATACCCAATGGGAGTAGTCCGCACCAAAGATGCCTTCATTGCTGAAAACGATACACAATTTCAAACCTTGTGGACCCAAAATAAATATTAACATATTCTTTAATATATATTTTTTTTATGAAGAAATTTTGAAACACATATTAATCTTAATAAATTTTAATGAAAAAAAGGTGTTATTATTATTTCTCTAATGATATTTCTATTTCTAATTTTTTTAAGATAAGTTCAAAGTAATAATAACTCGTGAAAATAATAGTAATTAATTATTTGTAATAAATAAGCCAAATATATAAGAAGGTTTCGATGGGATTGTTTTTGGCGTAATATTTTACTAATTCCCTTTTGTTATTACAAAGATTTTGGCTTATAGCGGAAAAGGAATGTTGCAAATTTGTTTAGCAATAGTTTATTTAGAATAAATTTCACTCATTCATTTTTTTATCCAAGTTCTTCTAATTTTAAAAATATAAGATTTTGATCTTTATATTAAATTAATATTTACTAATTGTTAAATTTTAATACTTATTTATAAATGTAATATTTAATAATATGATATTTAAAAATAAAAATAAAAATATATGAAAATAAATTTTTGATTAGTTTCGCTATTTATATTAATATGACACTCTAAATAATGTATATTACATTATTTAGCAAGTTTTGCTATTTTTTTTTCACAAATTTCATCCTTTTATTATTTTAATAGTACAATTTTGACCTATTCGTGGGGGAACTAACTTAACATTTTATTTCTTGCCAACACGTTAGCAATCATATTAAATATTGAGTGTTAGGTTAACAGATGGACTAAATTTGCATAATTAAAACAATATGTGGTAAACAAATTTGTAGGAAAAATGGAAAGATCAAATTCATGTAAAAACAACAATAGGGAGATATAAGTGAAATTCCGACTTTAATAAAAAATTAAGATTATGTTTGTTTGGTTTTATTTTAAAATATTTTAAAAGTGTATAAAAGTATTTTAAATTTTGGGGATTTTATAAAATGGAGTCTTTTTTATTTAATTATAATGACAAGAAAATACATTAATTTTAACAAGGTAATAGTATGATTACATCTTTAAAAGAAAATCAAAACAGATACTCAAAATAATTAAAAATGTTTTTTAAATTGAAAAAACATTTTTGAAAACGATATATTCGAAATAAAAGTAATTTTTAACTTTTTTTTTTTTTAAAGAAACACAATCTAGATATGAACTCATGAACTTAGCAAAGGGTGGGAGAATTAAAAAAAATATATTGATAACTATAGTTGGTAGTAACATTTAAAAGTTCTCGAAATGTTTTTATGAAAATAATAATAATCATAAAAATACTTCATTATTACATATATAGAATAATATTTGTTTTCCTATTTGTGGTCATATTATTTTTTAGTGATGTGCATGACTGTACACCTTTTCTAATTGACTGTAGTATTTGGACAAACTTGATTGCCTAAATATGATTGGCCTCTACCCAAATTCATTACAATATCTTAACATTATCTACATCATAAATTATAGTAGTGAGAAATGCTAGAAATATATTTATTAATATATTTTTTAATATACTTTCTTGTATTGCTTGAAAATTCAAAAATTACAAAATTTTGTGGGACTCATAAGAGAAATAATTGTGTTAAGACTTGAGAAAAATATATTAAAGAATGTGTTCATGACATTTCTCTTGTACTAGATATTAAATTTTTTTTGGAATAATTCTATATAATAGCCTTAAAATAAACTAATAGTTGGAGGTACAATTGTAACTTGTCAAAGGATAATCTTTGCCCTTTATGTTGAAACAAAATGTCATATCCTTCAGGATTGCACCTTGGTGCATCCCATTTGAGAGGCTTTGCTTTTGACTTATCAACCCACCCTTGTGGATTTTATAGTTATAATTTGCCAAGTAGGATTATTCAAAATATTAATTATAAATTCTCATCTTGTAGCTCTCTAATTGAGATATTGTTTTGGGCCATTTGGAATGCTAGGAATGGGATTATTTTTACTCGATGGATTTGACAAGATGAGCATGTGGTTGTTAATGGCTAAGTTCACTTACCTGAAGGTAGGGTCTACTGTTGAGAAATTGATTGTAATAGAACCAAGGGTGGAGATTCTAGGGTTATCTTGGCAATTTCCTCCTCTAGGTTGGACTAAATTTAATGTTGATGGATCGGTGTGAGTTGGAGGAACTCAAGCAACTTGTGGAGAGTGTTCTTAGAAATGATAGTGGTAGATGGATATCGAATTTTTGCAAGAAGTTGTGTTCTTACACCATTATGGTTGCAAAGATTTGGGGTATATATTACTACAACTTTGGAGCAAGCTTGGAGTTTGGGTTTTAGACAACTTTGGATTGAGTCTAATTCGTCATAAGCAATTTCATTGTTTAATAAATGAATTCTTATTGATCACCCCTATTATAGTTTGATCCATTATGGTCATTTGTTGTTGAAGTCTTGGAATGTTAATATTATTCATGTGGTCCATGAAGCAAACTCCATAAGAGATTGTATGGCAGGTGTAACCCATAATGGAGATATTTGTGTTACTATTTTTAATGATCCACCCCTAAAGTGTAGGGGCTTGCTTTGGCAGGATTTTAGGGATTATTCCTACCCCTACATCTCTATTGTGTAATTACCCTTTTATAACAACAACAAAAAAAAAAAAGAAATTATTTGACCTTTCAAATTACCCTCATTACCCTTAAACCTTTTGGGATCTACCTTTAGTATTCAAAATTGCTTATTCTTTTGCGCACATGGGTCTTACACCTTTTATAGAATAACATCAAAGGGCATTATGCCTTTTCTCCTTTTTTTGTACAAATTATGCCTTTTTTTTTTTTTTTTTGGAACAACAACATTTGCAATGGGGGGTCCACCAATAATTGAGACCTCTTTTTGTACATGTGCTAATGTTACAAACTTGGAACTAGGATTTGCAAGCCCCCATCAATACCTTGGTTGGAAGGTTCTAATTTGGATCTACTATGTATTACTTATTTCCTATCAATCATCCAAGGGCTATTTTTTCCGTTATTGAATTTTCGGTATTTCCGTGATCTCCTCCCTATTAATTGTTGTGCAATTATTATTTTTGACTTTATCCCTAAAGGTGGTTTGAGCACATAACTACCATCAAGAAAGCAATTTTACACTTTTGCCTATAAAAAGCATCGTATGATGTCATACATGTGTTTGAGTGAAAACTGTTATTATAGACAAATCAATCATAAATTGATACCTATCCTAACTTCCATTATATATCTACTAGAACACAAACTCTAAGTATGCCTTGTAAAGTTTAGATAGTCATTTTTATCGTACAATCTAACAAAGTATATATGATAGCTAATGCTTAGGCTAAGTTTAGTTTATATTATTTGATGGAGTGTATTCTAAAATCTAAATGTAATCTAGTTATCTCTTAAAGATACAATTTGACTAACTTCTTTAGTGAGAAATTAACTTTGATGGATAGAAAGTGGACAAATTTGGTGAGTATATTCATTATAAGTCAAATGACATCATATCTCACTTGAGTAAAAGATAGGACCGTGGAAAAGTTTATATACACACTACTCTCTCACTCTCACTAAAGAATCTTAAATGCATGTAACAAAAAAGAAAGTTTTTGGTATTTTATCTTAACTTCATCACTTATCAAACATTTTTAAACACAAATTA